CAAAGGTGTTCTGAACTGTGGGGCTACCTCTCCAGTCCAAATACTACATTCTTGTTCTTGGCACTGCCTTGAATATTGCACTGCCCTGAATATTTAAGATGTGTTATTTTACAATTCTATATGAGTTGTACTTAGCATTCTCATTGTACAAATGGGCAAACAAGGGCATTGATAACAAAAAAGGATTTTTTTTTTGAGACAGGGTTTCTCTATGTAGCTTTGGAGCCTGTCCTGGCACTAGCTCTGTAGACCAGGCTGGCCTTGACCTCACAAAGATCTGCTTTCCTCTGCCTCCCAAGTGCTAGAATTAAAGGCATGCGCCACCACTGTCCGGCCCAAAAAGTAATTTGTACAATACAACAATCATAGAACTAGTAAAATGCAGACCCAAGATTCTAAACCTAATAACTCAAGGTCATGTTATTTATTCATTTGGACTCAATACTAGAATGCAAACATTTGTATGTTTGTTTTACTTCAAAATAAGAATTAGGTGTATGGTCCAGGTGTAATAGCTCAGTATTGTAATCTCAACAGTTGGGAGGCTGAGGCAGGAGGATTGCCACAAGTTCAAGGCCAAGTTGGACTACAAAGTGAGTTCAGTTTTTTTTTTTTTAAATGAGGGTATGGCAAGATGGCTCACAAAGTCAAGGCACTTGCTATGACGTCTGGGAATCTGAGTTCCATTCCTGGAACCCATATCGTAAAAAGAGAGGACTGACTCATAGAAATTGTCCCGTGACCTCCATACGTGGGACACAGAACATGAGCCCATACACACACACACACACACACACACACGGAAAAAATGAGTACGTGACAAGTGGAGGGCTGCAGAGCTAGAGGGCTCGGTGCTGAGTGTGAGTGCCTGCATTCCGATCCCCAGCATTCACCTAAGAGTTGGGCTTGTATGCATCTGTAATCCTACAGCTGAGGAGAAACAGGAGACAGCAGGATCCCTGGGGCTTGTTGCTCCCTCAGATTCACTCTGCAGTCTTGGGTTCAGTGAGTCTCTGACTCAACAAATAAGGTGAACAACTTTGGAAGAGTCCTCATGACCTCTGATGTCCACAGATGCATAGGTGTACAAACATATTGGTACTAGCATATTTGTAGGTTCTGTCTATGGTTTCCGAGTCTGTTCTTTTCTATTTTCTTCCTACGTATCTTTTTTGTTTGTTTTGCTTTTCTTTTTTTTAATTTATTAGATTAAAAAAATACCAAATTCCCACTCCCTCCCCTCCTCCTATTCCCTCCACACACCCTCCCACCCCACCCCCCTCTAATCCTAAAAGAGGGTAGGGCACTTTGCTTTGTGGAAGATCCATAGCTCTCCCTACTACATCTAGGCCGAGCAAAGTATACATCCAGAGAGAATAGACTCCCAAAAATTCAGTACATGCAGTAGTGACAAATCCCAGTGTCATTGCTAGTGGCCCCCTCAGTCTGTCCCAACCATGCAACTGTCAACCACATTCAGAGGGACTAGTTTGGTCCTATGCTTGTTCCTTCCCAGTCCAGCTGGAGTTGGTGAGCTCCCATTAGCTGAGGTAAACTGTTTCAGTGGGTGAACCCTTCATGGTCTCGACCTCTTTGTTCATATTCTCATTCCTTCCACTCTTCATCTGAACCTTGGGAGCTCAGTTCAGTGCTCCGATGTGGTTCTCCGCCTCTGTTTCCATCTGTTGTGGGACAAAGGTTCTATAGTAATATTTAAGGTAATCATCAGTCTGACTACAGGGCAAGGCCAGTTTGGGCACCCTTTCCTCTACTGCTTAGGGTCTTAACTGGGGTCATCCTTGTGGATTCCTGGGAATTTTTCTAGAGCTAGGTTTTTTGCTAGCCCCATAATGGCTCCATTAATCAAGATATCTCTTTCCTTGGTCTCATATCTATCTTTCCTCCATCTCGACTATCCCATTCCCTCAAGTTCTCCTCAACCCTTCCCTTATCTCATCTTCTTCCCCTTTTCCCCTTCCTTCTACCCCCACCCCACCCCCATGCTCCCAATTTTGTCAGGCGATCTTGTCTGTTTCCAATTTTTAGGTTGATCTATATGTTTTTCTTTGGGTTGTTTTGTTTTTCAAGACATAGTTTCTCTGTGTACAACTATTTCTCCTGGAACTTGCTATTTAGATCAGGCTGGCCATGAACTCACAGAGATCTGCCTTCCTCTGCCTTCCAAGTGTTGGGATTGAAGGCATGCAGTCAGGCCTCCATCATAATTTTTTTTTTTCGTTTTTCAAGATGGGGTTTCTCTGTAGCTTTGGAGCTTGTCCTGTAACTAGCTCTTGTAGACCATGTTAAGTTGGGAGCATAGCCCCAGCCCCTGGCCTGGGAGTTGTTTTGCTCTGGACTCCATATCTCTGCATGCCAGGTCCTGACTCCCTCCAGGGTATGTAAGGGGCCTCCTAGAGAAGGAACACGAGGTTTTTGGGTTTGCATGGGCTCCCTGCTGTCCTGTCTCCCTGCTATGCACTCGGCCACCCAGGACGGTCATTCTTAATAAAACAATGGGGCCGGATGGTGGTGGTGCACGCTTTTAATTCCAGCACTCAAGAGGCAGAGGCAGGTGGATCTCTATGAGTTCAAGGCCAGCCTGGGCTACAAGAGCTAGTTCCAGGACAGGCTCCAAAGCTACAGAGAAACCCTGTCTTGAAAAACCAAACAACAACAACAACAAACGATGGGCATTTTGATTTGGTTTGATTTGACCTAATTGGATTTCTTGCACTGGTGGAGCTGCCCTTATTCTTATCAGACCACGTTGGCCTCGAACTCATAGAGATCCCTCTGCTTCTGCCTCCTGAGTGCTGGGATTAAAAGCGTGCACTACCACCGCCCTTCTCCATCATATTTTTAAAATTAAACTTCTTATTTATCTATATATTTTGCATTACTAAGGTTTCAACATGTTGACTAGAATTCTACCACTTAGCTATATTTCCCAGTCCAACTTTAAAAAAAAAATCAGGAAAATTTTAGGTACTAAAAGAAATTATTAGCTGGGCTGTGGTGGCACATGCCTTTAATCCAGCACTTGGGAGACAGAGGCAGGCGGATCTCTGAGTTTGAGGTCAGCCTGGTCTACAGTGAGTTCCAGGACAGCCATGGCTACATAAAAACCAAAACAAACAAACAAACAAATTATTTTATGCTTGCATATATGTATATGTATCATAGTATGAGTGTCTGGTGCTCAGGGAAGTCAGAGGAGGGCTTCTTCTCAACTAGAGTTAACAAAATGGTTGTGAGCTGCCACGTGGGTGCTGGGAACAGAGCCTGGATTCTCCGGAAGAGGAGCAAGTGTTTTAATCATCGAACTGCCTCTTCAGCCCCCATTTAAAGAAAGTTTAGAAACAGCATGTTCATACTTAGCCAAGGCTAACCTGAAACCTCAGTTCCAAGTCCCGTGATTACCCTTGTGTACCACCATGCCAGCCTTACAATTCCATTTCCATAGTGATTTTAAAAGTGTGTTCTAGCCAGGTGGTGGTAGTGGTGGTGATGGTAATGAATGACTTTGGTAATCGCAGCACTCTGGATGCAGAAGCAGGCAGATCTCTGAGTTTGAGGTCAGCCTGGTCTACAGAATGAGTTTCAGGACAGCCAGGAGTACACAGAGAAACTCTGTTACAAAAAACAAAAACAAAAAAACAACAACAACACGAAACAAAACAAACAACAAAAGGGTTCTACTGTCTCTGGAACAAGTTATTTCTGGCTCTTAACCAGTGCTTGGTGGTTAGCAGTCTACCGTTGGCAAATGGCTTAATCTCTCTTACACTTCAGTACTCGTAGGTTTAAATTTCAACTCTGCCACATGAGCAATTTTGGAAAGTCTTTCGATCTACACCTCATTTTCCTCATCTGTAAACTACGATGACCACTACCTACTTCTAGAGTAAGAATTCATCTAAAGCTCTCAGCACAATGTCACGCACACAATCTCTGGTTTCCCAAAATATTCGTTAAACGTGCTTATTTTTGTGATAATTAGTTCTCATCTCTAAGGCGCTCGAAAGAATACTTATGGTTAAGTGCTCTAAAACGCTGAATGTAGGCGGGCCTAACTGCTTCAAGGAAGTAGGAGGAGGTCGCCAGGCTAGCAAGAGAAGCTGGGCCCTGACTTGGCTACTGCAGTCGGGTGGGGTGGGAAATTGTCTCCTCACTGTGAAGAGAAAAAGACCAGATCCCAGAGAACACGCTACGAACACCGTAATTTATCAGTGCATTTAGCTAATTGTTAGGTTTTGATTTTTTTTCCTGCTGTTATGGTACAGTCAATTAAGGACCGACCAGGAGTAAATTAACACAGGAGCCCAAGGCCTTGACAGCACAAGGCAGGCCACACCCCAGAGAGACAAGGCCCAAGCCCCTAAAGCGAGTTCTGTCCTTAAATTCATGGATTCTGTCGCGATGAAACACCACCCACCCAAACGCAGAGCACAGCACCGATCCCAGTCTCCATCTTTAGACGTGAAAGAATGAGAGCTGGTCAAAGGAGAATCCCGGTTTTTAAGAGACTAGGTGGTACGGCGGCTGCCTGGGGACCAAAACGTCTCCAAGGTAAAGTTGCAGCCTGAAGCGATTTTTTGACCCCCGACACTTAATGGGCTGTCGAAGACCCGGATGTGTCTGGGACTGGCCGAGGTACCCATTAACGCGCCCCCGCTAGACCATCCCCCTTCTTCTTTTATGATTGGGCCCTCTTGACGCCAATCACAACTTCTCCAGCCACCCACTCCTCAAGGGTGGGGTGAAGTCTCGGTATCCCGCTTTCTATTGGTACGAGCAAGGCGAGGAGGGCGGGTAGCCGGCTAGGGTCCTCCAATGGGCGTCGTGGCGTGTGGTTAAGGCGGAGTCGAGGCGCTTGGCAGCTGCCCAATCAGCGTCCTTGTTTGTGTGGTGCCGCCGCCGCCGGTGCAGCCGCCGCCGCCGCTGCTGCCCCTGTCTGTACCGCAGTGTCTGCTCCGCCCGCCCGCCCTCCCCGACCCGGCCCGCCCCCTCCCCCACCCCCGTTCCTGGACCCGCCAGTGGGGTCTGGATCCCACTGTGCCGTCGCCGCCTCTTTTTTCGACGCCTTCGCCGCCGCCTGTAGAGGCGACCTAGTCGGGAGTTCCGCCGCCGCTGCCAGGTGAGGAGCTCTGGCCTAGGCCAGCCTGGCCGCCAGCCCGCCCGGGGGCGGTGAGGAGCGACGGAGGGAGCGAGGCTGCGAGGAGGCGGCGGTGGGGGAAGGGAA